ATGTTGAACTACTAGTCAGCAGTATTAAAATAACTATTATAATTATATTCCTATGTTCAAATACATAACATGAATGACATTGAAAAGGTTCAAATAAAACATATGGAAGCCATGATGGCACCTGCCTGTAATCTCAGGAGCTCGGGAGGCTGAGGCAGGAGGATCACAAGTTCAAAGCCAGCCTCAGCAATGGCGAGGTGTTATGCAACTCGGTAAAACCTCACCTTTAAATAAAATACAAAATAGGGCTGGGGATGTGGCTCAGTGGTTAACTGCCCCTGAGTTCAATCCTCAGTCCAAAATATTAAAAAAATAAATAAATAAATAGATAAATAGGAACCGTCTAGGGATGAAAGTTTCAGTGCATGCGATTTATGTTTTTTATTTTTTTATTTTTTTTAGACTTTTTTGTTTTGGTTTGTTTTTAGAGAAACTGCATACAACATCAGAGACAAACAATAATTTAAATACCATGCATTTTCTGTATGTACAAAACCGAGAGATCCAGTTTAATTTGTGTCCTATTGTCTCCTTCATACAGCCGTCATCTGTGAAGTGGAGCTCGGGAGGGCACGGATTGACGGTCGCCACACTCACTCCTATACAAAGACAAACTATGTACACACACCCAGGAAGCAACTGGAGAAAGCAACCGGTTTGGGGGTTAACAGACCAACGGGAAGGAAAAGTCATGGCAGGTGACCTTCACCCACCGGCCGTGCACTGGGGAGCCTGCAGCTCCCTTCATGGAAGCCACACACCACAATGTTCATTCAGCAAATATAAATACATGTTCATAAAGTGGGAGAAAAATAAACCCAAAGCTTTCCTCACGTTCAACGCCTCGTCATTGGTAGTTTCTCTAATTGGACAGAAAGGCGAATGTTTCAAAAGTGTTACAGGGCTCGGGGGCCTTGGGGATGAGGTTATCAGAATTTTGAGAAAGGAAGTTGGCCAATGGCTGCATCTTTTTTCATTAAGGGGGGGTTGGGGTTGGGCTTGGAGCCATGTCTAATTTCGAGAGGGACAGAATTTGAGATAATACACGCTTCCCTCTCCCACGAATCCAAATGACACCATGCCCCACTGGGAACGTCCATGCACCAACTCCAAAATTGCAGTACTTCCAGAAAAGTGATGCATTTTAAACCATCTAGCCCATCTCTTCCCCCTACCCCCAATGAGTGTCCAATTGTCATCTTGGAAGGTAGCACAAGTTGTTTCGGTGTCATATCAATGTGGCCAGAAAAATGTGGGTAGATGATCTCTCTAAAGACCTGGAGGTTTACAGGGAGACAGCAGAGGCCCTGTCCTGCAGGCCCCTGGGGTTGCTGAGGCCAAGAGCCACCTAGAGTGGGCTTGAGATAGCTGATCCTGAAGGTGGGTGACCTTTCAGGGACTGGGAGGTGCACCCCTCAGTCTGAGAAAGTGACTTCTGGGAAAGGGTGCCCTGCAGGAGGAGGAGTGGAAGTGGCGTTCAGTTTCCTCCATGCAGGAAGTGGACTGCAACCCTAGGGCACTTTGGGTGGCCCACCCGGGCTGCTGGCTGGCTACAGGGAGCAGGATTTGGTCTTTCTTTTCCTAGGGAATTTGAAGGCCCAAGACCCAAGGCCAGCAGGGATGCCAGGGGCCTTGGTGGGAGGAGTCCAGTCAGCGGAATGTATTCCCTGAGGACTCACTCCTGGCCAGGGGAAGGCAAGACTGTCAGGACACAGGGCACCACGTGCAACTTTTGAAGCTCAGCTGCTGGTTAGAGGGAGTGCGGGCCTCAAACCCGGGCAGGCAAGTACCTCCGCCTTGAATGGGTGCCTGCCCCACCTGCCCTAGAGAAGTTCAACACAGGAGCCAAGCGTCATCTGTCATTCCATTCGAACATTCAAACTGTCAGTAAGCCTTTCGGGAAGACATTTTCCCTGAATACCTCTCCCAACTGCAGGAACTATTCAGATTCAACATTCAAAGAAAAAAGAAAGATCTAGTGATGGTGTCCAGTGATGGTGATGGTGTCTGCCCTTGGGCTGGGCAGAGGCATGCATGCTCCAGAGGCGCAAGGAGACCAGCGGCTGGGGGCACTGCCTGCAGAGTTGCCCTGAGCTCTCCCCGACATCTGTCTGGCTCCTGCTTGGTGCTACCCACGGAGCCGTTAAGGCTGTAGAAAATTCAACAGCCCCAGAGATGGGTGTTGCATCCCAAGGGTTCCTGGTCCCCCCTGGTTTGAGTGGGGACTTGTTGACTCTTTTTTCGGATGGCCAGGCCGGCAGCTGGCATCCTTCTAAACCTTGGGTGCGTGGGGTAGAGAGCGAGCCAGGGCCTAGAGGGACCATGGTGGCTCTGGATCCTCCATAGAAGGCAGGGAGAGCTCTGCTCGGAAAGAAAAGTGGGTGTTCTGGGCCTCACTGGGATCCTGGGTAGGGTTTGTGGGTGTCCTTACTTCACTGCACACCCAACCCCGGTGTCCCTGCTGACAGAGTATTGCTTCTCTGTGGTCCCGGTGTGCAGGACAACAGTTGGAGACTCATCTCCAATCACCCTGCATCACAAGAGAGACAGGCCTCTCTCTCGATCAATGGAGCAGGAAGAGAGGGACACTTTGGCAGGCGTGCCTGGCATCTGCCCAAACCTGGCACGTGCTGAAATCTGGGCTTCTCTGTGGAAGCTTTTCAGTGCAAAGAAGGGAGAACAAGAGGCCATAGAGTGGCACTGGGACTCCAGTCCCTCAGTGGCTGGGGAGCCAGGCTTACAGGAAGGGCTTCTGGCCTCCACGCATTGGTCCTGGGCTCAGAGGACCGATGACTTCCAAGTCACACCACCCCGACTCTGGGTGCACAGGAAAAATGAACCCTGGCCAAGCAGAGCTTCTGACCAGCCTTGCTAGACTTCTCTGTTTGGCTCCACTTAGTGCCTGTGCTGCCTGAGTGAGTGCTGACCTCAGCTTGCAAGGCCCCACGCTGTCTGCACCCCAGATGCATGGACATCATGTGGGTGCCTTAGCCATGGCATTTGTGTGACACTGGGTGGGCCAATTAATTAGAACTGAGCAGATGACAACTCCCGCTTTTGAAACCAGAGTCTCCTGCAAGGCGGCTCAGCTCAGGCTGAGGGGGCAGGATGGGCGCTGCCTGCCAGCCTTCTGCCTCTACGGCACCCACCTGAGGACCCACAGACAGTCACAGACTCCCCCAGAACCCCCTGGGAAAAGGCCCTTCCCTTCTGCTCACTGTGGGGATGATGGCCGAAGAGAAAGGACCAGGCCACGAAGTAGCCCTCCCCGGCTCTCAGCACCTCCCTCCTCGGGGACCCCCAGAGTGCCCGGTGCACCTGGCCAAATCTAGAAGGCCATCCGGACTGACAGCTGGGCACAGTCTCTGAGACAAGCTCATGCCTCCGCCTTCTTTCCACTCAGGTGACAGACCCTTATGAGGAAGGGTTTCACTGGAGACCAGGTGAGCTGGTGCCTGCCGGGCTCCGATGGCGAGGATGAGGACCGCTGGGCCTCCGGGAGGTCTTCCGCCAGGGCCCTGCCATCGGTGAGACGCGTTTCGGTACCTGCAGTGATGCTAGCAGCTCTGACCGTGCAGTGGTCACCATCATGTTTCTGCACAGAGAATCCTGATTGCGTTTCCTTTTATTTTTCTTCTTCTTCTTTTTTAAAAAAGGCAGTTCAGAAGATTTACATCGTAATGAGGAAGTGAATAAATACCAGCACTTATGGTTCTTCTTATAAATTTATGTTTTGAAGACAGCATAGCACTCAAGAGGAATTTAACTGTTAAGGTCATGGAACTTGTTAAGTGTCTACTCAATTCATGAACTTCCATTTCAGTGCTTTTAAATTCATTGAGCTCTTTCCGAATGGCAGCTTTGTCTGCAGCTGTGAGGCGGGTCTGCGGCTTGTCTGCCCTCCGATCATAATCCTGAGCGTCAGCCACCTCCACGTAATCACTGAAACAGATGAGGATTTTCCTTTCTCGAAGTTCTTCTACTGTGGGCCTTTGACTGAGCTTTCGAGTTAGTCGCCTCTTGATCTCTCTTTTCTTCTCCTGTTCCTCTTGTTCATTCCGAGGTTTCAAAAAGTTCCTCTGCTCCAGTTCTTCTGCAGTCGGCCTCTGGCTCAGCCAACTGGTAAGCTTGCTGCCGATCTGCTGCCTCAGCTCCAGCCTCTCCTCATCCATTTGCCAGGGCAGGATGTTCTTTTTCTCCAGTTTTCGCTTGGAGGGCCTGTTGCTGAGTTTGATGGCCAAGGAGTCCTTCCTGCAGACCTTCATGGCCAGGGAGCTGGTGTACAGGGAGCTGTCATCCTCTTCGTCGTCGTCGTCCTCCTCCTCCTCTTCTCTTGTGTACAGGCAAGAAGAGTCTTCATAGTCTGATTCATGAGGCACATTTGCTTTATTGTCATCACATTCAATCACAACAGTTGGCACTTGTCTGATTTCTGGAAGGCCCATAGGTCCTGCTTTTGTGACACCGTCACTCGAGTGCAAACCAGAGCTGTGGTAAGAAGTGGAACAGGGGACTCGCTGCTTGGAGCTTTCCAGCCTCTACATGGTCATGGCCAGCATTTTGTTCAGCTCGTCTATCATCTTGCAGCCCGAGGGGTGCATGGGGAGGGTGCCAGTGGAGGAGGGGAGGTGCTGGCCATGGCTGCCATACTGCAGCTGGTGCTGGATCTGGGACGGCAGGACCATGTGGTGGTGCTGGGCCACGCCCTGCTGGCTGCTCTTCTGGGCTGCGAAGGTCGCCAGGGAGAGCTCCGGGCCCCCTACGGGCATACAGATCATGACTTTCTTTGGAGGTAGCGGAAGCAACAGTTTCACTGGCAGACAAGGCAATTTCACAGGGGCACCAGGATCTGTTAAGTGGTTGGCAATCCAGGTAGTAGGTTTGGGAGGCAGGGCCGCGGGCTGCTTGAGAAAGGACAACTGCTTCACTGGGGTCTCCTCATGGTCTCCAGAGAAAGCAGCAAGATTTTTGGGGGGCAGTAGCAGGACTGGTTTGGCTGTAGGATCTTGGGACAGGAGGACTCCAGAGTCACTGGCAGAGGGACTCTCTTCAGACACTGAGGGGACAACTGGCCCTCCATGATGTCTGAAGCTTGGAGCACCTCGTACAAGCAGGGATCCCTCGGCATGGGGACTGGCTCCATTTCGGACAGGGCGGGCAGGGACAGCTGGCTGGAGCTGAGGGACGGTCCGTTTTCCAGGGAGTCATCTTCGTTGGATATGGAGAGCTCCCCATCTTTATGGTAGATCTCCTTCAAGACCCCTCGCTTTATCAGCTCCTCTCTGCTTTGCCTTGATGGATATCTTCATGGATATCTTCCTTTCCAGGGCTGCCGACGTGTGCTTGAACTTCTCGCTCTTCTTCTTCCTCCACTTCTAGGGCTTGAAGATCCTGCCCAGGTTGGCAAACTTACTCCTCCTCCGGATGGGTGGGGTGTGGGTACCTGGGACGAGGAAGTCGGAACGCATTGCCACCAGCCTCTCCACCTCCTCGGCTTCATGGAGCCCAGCTCCTACCAGCCGGGTGGCAACCTTCAAGGAGTCCTGCGTTTCCCTTGACCCTGCAGGCCACTGCTTTCAGAAGCAGGGGACATTATCGAAATGAAACAGAAAGTAACCTGGGGATCCAGACAGACCCTTGGCTTGCACTTGGCCGCCCCCAAGCTCTGGCGACTCAGCCCGCCCAGTGCATTCGATTTAAAACCTAATGGATGGGATTAATGGCAGATTAGACTTTTCAGGAAAAAAGTTGAGTCAACTCGAAGATACAACAGAAGATTGCCAAAATAAAATAGAAAAATAAATAAATAAAAACATGAGACAGGGAATAAACAGAGAATCAGTGACCTGAGGACAATTTCAAATAGCCCATGTTTAATTGGAGTTCCCAAAGGAGACAAGGAAAGGGATGGAGAGAGAAAAAAAAATATTGGAAAAGAATATTGGCTGAACATTTTCACATTTGATGAAAATCAAACTGAGATCCAGGAAGCCCCACAGCCTCAAATACAAATGGTATTAAGAAAGCAAGACCACGGAACATCACAAAGAAATTGCTTAACACCCAACATGGTAAAGAGAGAAAATCTAAAAGCAGCCATAGAAGAAGGCAAGTTTTATACAGAGAACAAGAACAAGGACAACAGTAGATTTCTTTTTGGAAGCAAAGCCACTTTTACCCCAAAAGGAAAAAATAAAA